AATAAACTCTCTTTAAAATTTTGTTTCTCTATTTATTTAAAAAAAAAATGTAAGATCATGGTTTATATTACGTCCATTTAAGGATGAAATAACACATCTGACCGAACAAGTTTACTCCTAGCTATTTCCTATTATACATCTAAAGAATTAATTCAACCAAAAAGTTTTAAGTTGTTAGACGAGATTATATTAATAATTTTATATATATGTAACACGTCCACTCACATTAAAGCTCATTGAACTTGAAGGGTGGACACGACACAATATTAGAGAATAATATAAATCGTTAAAAAGACCCTCACCTAACACCTTAAAATTTTGGATTGAAATAGTTCTTTACATAGTATCAGAACTTAAGTGACCACAAGGTCACAAGTTCAATTCTCACAGCCCCACTTTCAAGTGAAATTAAATAAGAGTAAGGTAAATCAAAAATTGGGCCTATGCAATAATTCACGCTTTAAGCCCAAAATGCTCTTGTATGAGGGAGTGTGTTAGAGAATGATATAAATCATTAAAAAAGTCCACCTTAAGATTTTGAGTTGAAGTGGTTCTTCACCGGCCTAACCTACATGTGTTAAGAAACTCCACAAAAATAATTAATTATTAATTAAATGAGAGTGGTGAGAATCGAACTCGTGATACCAAAGTTTTGATATCATGTAAAGAACAAATTCAACTCAAAAACTTAAGCTGTGAGATTACGTTAATAGTTTTATATATCTCTAACAATATATATTATTAAATAAAAAGAATCTATATCAATATCACTTGTTTGTCAAATATATATATATATATATAGAAAGGTTATACTTACAATTTTTTTTTACAACCTCTTACAATCATAACTTAATACCGTTGATTTCTGCCAATCAACAGTTATAATTTTTGCAAATTAAATTCATTAATTAATTATTAATTCACAATAAATGATAACCGTTGATTGACGGAAATCAACTGTGTTAAGATATGGTTGTAAAAGGTTGTAAAAAAAATTGTAAGTATAACTTTCCTCATATATATATATATATATATATATATATATATATATATATATATATATATATATATACATATAGAGAGAGAGAAAAAAAAAATATTTTTCCGACAACTTGAGATAAGTTTATCTCTGGCTACCCCAAAACTATGTCGTTTTGTTTATTTATTTCCTTATATTAATAGATTCATCTTTGAATGATTATGATTCCCCTTTTCTTTCTTTATTACCATTAATCAATATTTGTACGGTTATGATTTAGTAGTCAGAGATAAAATTATCTGAAGCATCTTGAGAAACGATAAGCCCATATATATATAGCTGCTTCAGATAATTTTATCTCAAGATGCTTGAGAAATGTTTTTCTCATATATATATATATATATGTGGGTTCGCTTTTTCTACAGTCAATGTAGATAACTTATCTACAGTGAGTCCAAAATGACGTCATTTTGAGACGAAAATCAAGGTATTTTTGTAATTATAATTTATTTCAGGGTTATAATAGCCTTTTTCATTATAATTTTTTAATTTTTAAACCCAAAATGACGTCGTTTTGAGAGCGAATGTAGATAACTTATTTACATTCACTTTAGAAACATTAAAGCTTATATATATATATATATATATATATATATATATACACGCACACACGTTCTTATAGTTTTTGATAATGTAAGGAATAAAATGTTATAATAACATTTTTTTATTTATATAACACGTTCTTATAGTTTTTGATAATGTAAGGAATAAAATGTTATAATAACATTTTTTTATTTATATAAAATTAGTTAACTTGAATGATTATAGATATGGAATGAAGAAGCAAAGATGCGTTCAATTGCTTCAATTATGCATTTTAGGCAGTTTTTAGTGCAATTGGAATATCGGTTAGATAATTAACCATATTAGTTCAAATTAAGTGTAATTTAAATTGTTGTAACATATTTAAAATCACGGGGAAGATAATACTTACAACCTATTTTCTTTACAACCTCTTACAACCATATATCTTAATCGTTGATTTTCGCCAATCAACGGTTATCATTTATTGTGATTTAATAATTAATTAATAAATTTAATTTGCAAAAATCTTAACCGTTGATTGACAGAAATCAACGGTTAAGATATATGGTTGTAAAGAAAATAGGTTGTAAGTATAACATTCCCCTTAAATCACACTTAATTTGGTTTTAAAAAGTAAAACTTAATTCGATATACTGTTGTTAATTGTCTAATGAATAAAGGCGTGATGTGATCAAGGAATGAATTTGTTATGGACTGAATTCATATCTTAACAATCTTGTTACTAGTACTGAATCCATATCCTAACAATCCTGTTACTAATAAGATTGGGCGAGAATATCACAATCATATAATGAGAATATCAAATCATGTAATCTGAGAGAATCAAGTGATAAAATTCCTATTCCAATCAAGACAGATTTCATATCAACCAGAAGATTTAAAGGTTAAGCCTATGAAAATAATCTTTATAAATAAATAAGAGGCTAAAGATCCAAAAATTTCCTAATATTGTCAACACTTGGCTACACGTTCATTGATAGTGCGCAGTGATTATCAATGATTGTTGGGTGAAATAACTTGAGACAGGTGACAAAATTCTTTACGCTCTATGTCACAAAAGACATTAGTCTCATCCATTAAAGAACATCCCCCCCAAAAAAAAATTGTGTTTTTAACATAAAAATTGTTAGTTTTAACAAACTGGAACCCAATTCAATTAATATTTTTTCATTAAATTTACTCTATATACGAATTTCACTTGAAACTATGACATGGGCCTGAGATTTGTAGGGGGCCATCTCTTGTGAGGGATGTGACTGTGTAAGATGTGAGAAGACAAAGATGAAAGATAGGGACTATAGAGGACCAAGGCAAGGGGCTATTGTCTTCGACGATATTTGAAGACGTAAGCTTGTAAATCCAAAATGAGATCAGGACTTAAAATTTTTGTCTTCTTCCCAAAAATAATCCTCCGTAGCTACCTATTCACAGCTTGGATGGTTCTTTCTTTCTATCAGCCACTTTTTTTTGTTGTTGCATGGTAACAAGTACAATGACATGACATCTAAAGCTAGAAGTTATTTATAAGCTAAAGTTTAAAAAAAGAGGTTAAAAGTTATTTGGTAATCATATAAAATTTTTAACTTAAAAATTAATTAAAAGTATATATTTTAAGAAATTTATCTTTCTCTATTTTTATAACTCTTTATTTTAAAAAAAAACACACAATTCAAGAAAAACAGATAAGAGCTTAAAAAAAAGCTCCTCCTAAAAGCTTTTAATTTTCAGTTTTTTTCTTCATTATAAAAAAAGAACTTTTTATTATAAGAGCTTTTTTCAAAATCTGTTTGGACTAACTTATGCTTATAAGTAACTTCTAACTTAAAAATAAGAGGATCCAAACAGGCACTACTAATAACCACACGTCTGTTGCGTGTGAGTATGTTTTTATATCATCGTATGAAAACTTTTTTAAAATTTCTTTATAAAGAAATCGTTGATCTTATATCCTATTATCTACCGCGTCATTATTCCTTGTTTTTTGTCCTTTTGTTGTTGCTGACGTTTAATTTGCTATAATTCTGCAAAGTCAGTTAATTCCAAATCAATGGGATCAATGCTATCCTAAAAGTGCTCAAGACATTTATTAAATAACGAAATAAAAATCTCCGTTACCTATTGATTAATGCAATCTTTTAAGTATGAGCCTTGTTTTGATATTTACACTAATAACGGCGAAGTTCATTGAAGTCATACAACGTTATTATATCTTACTTCATTGTATACAAAAATTAAATTTGGAATTTATTTAAGAAATGGTTAAGATTCGAAGGACAACATACACAAGTTTTTGCGATTAATTAGTTAGGATTCGTCGATAAAATAGAATCATCTGGGATTATATATATATGCCAAATTTGAAATCTTGAATCATCGAGTAGTGTCGCAGATAAAAAGTCTTTTCGATAATTATACTATTTAAGATTTGGATTTTTTTTTTCACATAAAAAATACGCTTCAGTTATCATTGTACTTAGTATTTGTTATTAAATCTAATTCAATATGCTTAGTTATTTTGGTTTGAAAAATAATACTTATGTGCCTCAGTAAATAATATAGTGATTTCATTGGCATTTCACAACTTACAAATTTTGTTGATTTATCATTCCACTTCAATTTCATCTATACCGAGTTAAAAAGAATAAGATTATCCACACCAAAAAAATAAAAGAATAAGATTACAATAATCTAAAAATTGAGTTTATCTAAAAACAATAAAACAAAACAGAAAAGCAGAGTGGGAGAGAGATGAAGAAAAAGGTGGGACCCACACAAGATCTCCAAAAAATGAGGTATAGAATTAGTTATGAAATCGAATCACGGAAGTAATTTTTATTTCTTTTTAGTACACAACGTGGGGCATAGCCCAAAAACAAACTGAGCTAACACAATTTTAAGGATAGAAACAATAACAATAGTTGCAAGCTCCGTATATGATAAAATTGATAATAACAAAGGGGAAATATTATATTTATCATCTAAAAGATTTTAGCCTTATCGCTCTTATTTGAAATTAAAAGTAGATAAATTTTTTTTCCCATTTCTTAATAATTGATTTTAAATTGATTGAACAGTAATCAATCACGTGATAAGTCTAAAATCTAAAATGGCCCATAATAGAGAATAAAAATTTGAAAAAATCAACATTGATAAAAACTTGGGTTTAAATAAGATTGACTATGTTGGAGGATAGATGACGTTAGTTATAACAAAAAAATCTGGAAAAACCGACATTGAGAAAAAGCCAAAACCAAACAGTAAACAGCACCGTTTTTTTAATTTCTGCTGCTCGTTCAGCGCAAGACATGAACACCCCGAGAGTCCGAGGTTCTCACACACACATATACAAACCTAGTACACAGTTTATTATTATTATTATTATTATTTTAATAATGTTTTGTTTGGGTTTTCGTGGATGAGTGCAGAGAGAAAAGGCATCAACTTTGGTGAAATGAATGCGGGTCAAGGTGAGAGAGGAGCAATGCAGAAGCGTAGGACGGTTTCATTGGGAAAACTGAGAAGGTTCCTCGGTGCAACCATATGCTCAATAGCTGTAACGTCTCTCTTCTTTGTTCATGTACACTTATCCACTTCCCCCAATGATCACAAGTTCAATGACAAGATCACCACGGTTTGTCTTCTTTCTCTTTCTCTCTGTTTTTTTTTTTCTTCTTCTTCTTTTGTTGCAGACAGAAAGAAAAAGAAAAAAAAAACGTCTTTAGGGTTCTCATTGTTACTTCCGGGGATTCCGGGATATTCCTTGATCATCTCCAACTGTATTTTCTGTGCACCAGATTCTATTATTTATTTATTTATTTTTCCTTTTTATGCAATTGCGTATACAAACAATGAGTCAGTTTTGCGATCTTTCTGAAAAGCTTCAATATTCAGTGTATTGTTGACTTGATGAAGATTGTCATTGGTGCATACAAATATAGAAAGTGTGGGAGTTTGTACAATTTGGTTTATGCTTTTTATCGAATTTTTTTTTTTTTGAATTTTGATATTTCGGTTGATACTTGATAGCTTAATGATCAAAAATCAAAATCCATTTGCTTGTTTTATCTATTTATTTGTCTATTTCAAAATTTGACAGTTTCATGACCGGCAAAGCTGGACTCAAGAACTCGCTCCTCCCCATTTATCCATGGATCGACTTTCTGCTCCCGAGGTTCTGTTTTTTCAAATCAATACTACCTTAGAATTGATTTTTGATCTCTCTATTTAGATGCTGAGAATGTGACTAAGAAACGAAATGCACTGGGCAGTTATCCCAATAACTTTCTATATTTTTCTTTTTGAGAAAAAAAAAATGCAATAATATAAAGCAGAGGGATAAATCTCACACATTCCCACTTGCTTATTTGACTTAGTTACTAATTGTTATATGACTTAGACTTCTTGTTTTATTTAGTTTTAGACTTTTAGTGTTTGTTAGCTATGTTGGGGTGTCATTTATCTTGGTAAATATATTTTAAATTATGCACAGCAATTATGCATCTTTTGTGTCTCAACTCTCTTAGTTTTGGCAGTTACATGATTCAAGAGGGGATTCAGATTATGAGAAACTGTGGAAGCCTCCACCAAATAGTGGGTTTCTACCCTGTACCAAGCCTACTGCTAATTACACAAGTAAGAAACTTGAGCTTACATTGCAAGTTGAAAGTGTGATTTTTTTTGGGTGCTTAATTCTAGTATTTCATGTTTATTCAGCTCCTGCGGAATCACGAGGTTACCTTTTAGTTCAAACAAATGGTGGGCTCAACCAAATGCGTGCTGGGGTCAGATTTTTTTCTCTTTAAATCGCTCTGATTTGAAACATTTTAGTTTTAAATTCAGCTTATTCCATGTTGAATTTTTAACTTTCTTATTTGATTGTTGTTAGATGTTAGAAAGTTCTTCCTGTTAAGTTTAGTTGCCAAGAAGACAAAACACAATAGTTGGCTAAAATAATTGATTGACCACAAAATCTAGAATTTAGAGAAGACCATGGATTATTACATTTGTCACTTTTGGATGTTCTCCATCTTCGTATACTAGAAGCTGAAAATTTGTTTCCCTTACTACAGATATGTGATATGGTAGCCATAGCTCGTATCATAAATGCCACTCTTGTAATTCCAAAACTTGATAAAAGATCATTTTGGCAAGATTCTAGGTAACTTTTAAATTCTGTTTGAGTTCTAATTTGTATATTATAGTTCACTCTTTTTGGATTTTATAGTCTTTTGTTTGATTTGCAGCATTTTCTCTGATATCTTTGATGAAGAGTGGTTCATTAGTTCTCTAGCTAATGATGTAAAAATCATTAAGAAGCTTCCCCAAAAACTGGTTAACGCAACCAGAATCTTCAAGTCATTCACAAGCTGGTCTGGTATGGATTACTACGAGAAAGAGATTGCTGCCATCTGGGATAGATTCAAAGTATGTAGTCTGGTTGAAATCTGTTGGTATATACATTTGTTATGCTATTATTCATTTATTTACCTTAATTTCTAACATATTGTGCAATCATCTTATTATTGATAACCTCAAGGTTATTAAAGCTTCCAAATCTGATTCTCGGCTAGCAAATAACAATCTACCTCCAGATATTCAAAAGCTTCGCTGCCGTGCTTGTTATGAAGCTCTTCGTTTCTCTTCTCGCATTGAACAAATGGGAAAAGTATATAACTAGATGTTAACTCTTATTTGCTTCTTTGTTTGCTTTCTCCTACTCTGTCCATTAATACTTTTTGGGTTCTTGTAGATGTTGGTGGAGAGGATGAGGTCATTTGGTCCTTATATTGCATTACATTTACGTTATGAGAAGGATATGCTTGCATTTAGTGGGTGCACACATGATTTAGCTAAATCCGAGGCTGAGGAGCTACGGATTATTAGGTATTGGTGCTTTAAAATGATTAGTTGAATCTCCTTTCTTTTCCTGATATCTTATGTTTGAAAATTACTATCATGTACCAAACTTTTAGACAGAATACTACTTATTGGAGAAGAAAGCACATTGATCCCATAGAAGAGAGGTCCAAAGGGTTTTGTCCATTAACTCCAAAGGAAGTTGGAATTTTTCTCACTGCTCTTGGATACCCATCAAAGACTCCAATATATATTGCTGCTGGGGAGATATATGGGGGTGACTCCCATATGACTGAACTCCAATCCCGCTATCCATTGTTAATGAGCAAGGTAAGATTTTACAATACATTGTTGATAGTATGTTGGTGAAGTTGATAAAGCATTTTTTGAACTTTTTTTTTTTTTTACATAAAAAATAAAAATAAATGAAGTTTGATAAAGTCTTAGTATTTTGAATGTCTCTTCTTCAATAGCAGTCAGCTGAAAATGCATTGATGCCATGTTGATTAACCAACCTATGATATGATTAATTTCAGGAAAAGTTGGCATCCATTGAGGAGCTTGAACCCTTTTCTAAGCATTCATCTCAAATGGCTGCTCTTGACTATATTGTATCGGTTGAAAGTGATGTGTTTTTGCATTCTTACCCTGGAAACATGGCAAGGGCTGTTGAAGGCCATCGTCGTTTTCTTGGGAGTGGAAGAACAATATCTCCAGATAGGTAAGGTTCTCTCTCTTTTCATAAGCAAATCAAGTTTTTATTTATCTTTTTTAAATTTTGGTAATATTACCCTTCCCAGTTCATCATTACGGAGCTGTTCTGTTTTTGTATGCCCTCGCTTATTTTAATCAGGAAAGCTCTTGTTCGTCTGTTTGATAAACTTGCAAACGGATCAATGACTGAGGGGGAAAAACTATCAAATACAATTATTGATCTCCACAAAAGACGGTATGTGATTGGAGAAGCATTAATGTATATGTTAAGTAATTTTATGGTTGTTAGGTATGTCTGTTTTTTATGTTTATATATATATATATATATATACAAATATATTTATATTTATATTTTTACCGAGGAAGGTTATACTTATAACTTATTTTCGTTTACAATCTTTTATAATCATAATTTAATCATTGATTTCCGTCAAACAACGGTTATTATTTATTGCAAATTACTAGTTAATTAATGAGTTTAATTTGTGAAATAATAACCATTGATTGACGAAAATCAATGATTAAGATATGATTGTAAGAGGTTTGATTAAAATATGATTGTAAGATGTTGTAAACAAAAATAAATTATAAGTATAACTTTCCTCTATTTTTATTGGGAAAAGTTCAAAAATCTCTTATGTGATTTTGCTTTGAATCATTTTCCTCTATGGTTTTTTTCCATCTAAACTCATCCTTTTAACATTGTTAGAAACTCAATGAATTTGTCCATTTTACCTTTCTTAAAAGAAGAAAATAAACCGAGGATAAAAATGAAAAATAAGATCAAATATGTTCAAAACTTATGACTTTTACATAAAAGACTAAAAGTAAAAAATAAATAAAAAGACTAAATATGTCTAAATAAAAAAATAGAAAATAAACCGAGTATGAAAAAAATACAAGAAAAAATAAAACCAAATATATTGAAAACTTACAATTGTAACATATAAAACTAAAAGTAAAAAAAATGAAAATAATTTTAATCAAAATCAAAAGGAAGAAAATAGATTGAAAGAAAATGTTAGGAGTTATATAAAATTATTAATGAGCTCTTTTGTGAGGGAGTATGTCACAGTATAATATAAATCACTAAAGAAGCTCTCACCCATTAGCTTAAGATTTTAGGTTAAATTGTTCTTAACAAAAAATAAGAAATAAAAGAAAAAATAAAACATAATATGTATAAATAAATAAAAAAGATCAAATATGTTCGAAACTTATAAACTATTTTTTTTCTTCTATTTCTTGTTTGTCTTATTTTTTGGTCTTATTATTTTTCCTATTTCTTTTGCAATAATAGAAAAGACTAAAAATGACAAAAATGAAAATAGAAGAAAAAAAAAATATCTAAACCAAAAAGAAAAGAATAAACTGAGATACCAAAAAGGCCAAATACACTGGAAACTTATAATACTGATTTCTTTTTTATCTTATTTTTTCTTTTTTATTTATTAAGACTATTTTCATTTTTTTTTTTTTAGTCTTTTCTATTAAGGTTGTAAGTTTTCCACGTTTCTTTTTTTTTTCTATTATTTTGTTCTCGTCTATTTTTTTCTTGATTTAAACATATTTAGTCTATTTCCATCTTTTTATCTGTTAGATTAAATTTAAATCAATGGTTGAAAGAGAGAAACAAAGAATAAATCTTTGATACTATTGTTGTACTAAAGATTCAGTGCATCTCACTAATGAAAATATTACATGTCAGTTAAAATTTATTTATTTTTGTCAAAAATTTTCTCTTTCCTCTGATGTGTAATGTTCTCATTGAAATGCACACTGAATCTAGGTACAACAATAATACCAAAGATTTATACGGAAAACAAAAGTTATAATTAGTTGAGAAAAATAAGGAAAGAGAAACAAAATAAAAATATTATTATATTTGAGACCATTGATTTAAACTTAATCTTATGGTAATATAAAGGTAGTAAGAGTAGGAAGATTAAATAGGAACCAATATAAACGTTTTTTTTTATTTTTTTTATGTAAGTGTTGTAAGTTTTCAATATATTTGGTATTATTTTTTTTCATTTTATTTTTTGGTAAACTTTCTTCCATTTCTTTCTAATAATGGTAAAATAGGAGGATTAGTTAAATTTATAGTAGTGTTAAGAATGAGTTTGGATTAAAAAAAAATTATAGGAAAGTAAGTGATAAAAAAATAAAATAAAGATATAAATGATTCAAAACAAAATCATAAGAATTTTTTCGAACTTTTCTATTTTTATTTTCAGTTAGATAACTTGAAGATCCTTATATGTTTTTATCATTGACTCTTCCCATCTCCAATTTATTATGACCCTAGTATTTTAGATTTAAATAAAGTTTAAAAAGTATAAAATATAGGAAAAAGTATTCAACACAAGTTTAAAATTTATAAGGGATTGTATCATGTATAAATGGAATAATCTAAAAGTTATATATTAGAAGAGAAAAAATTTAAAATTATAAAAAGGATATGCATAATTAATTCAAAAGAATGACAAGTGTCATTAGTTATAGAGTAAAATATTTACCAAAAAGAGAGAGAGAGAGAGAGAGAGAGAGAGAGCGCTGAAGATAGTGTGCTCTAATTTAATACACAAGAATGTAGAGGTTAAAATATTAGGAGAAAGAACATATTTTAATGTAAAAAGAATTTTTTTATGGAATTAATTTGAGAGTGTAAACATATGAGATATGGGGAGAAAAAAAGTAACTTAAAATTTTGTTTGAAAGTAATTATTTTGAGAGTATATTTGAAAAAAAAGAATTTTTTTGAAATTAACTAATAATTTGTGCTGTTAGCTTTTATTATTATTTTTTTTTAATACAATTGAGAATTGAACATAATACAACCTACTCAAGTCCTTCACCACTAGATTAATCCTAGTGGCTTAGCTTTTCTTTTGCTTTTTCTCCTCTCTCTCTGAAAAACAGAAAACTATATTTTTAAATTTTCTATATTTATATTACTTTTTTTTGTTATTGTATATATTTATGTATTAGTTTTATTATTTATTTTTTAAATCGATTCTTACTTTTATATGAATTCATCAACTATCAGCCCAGTTAGTTGAGGATGAAATCAATGTTGATGTTGTATTAATATGGGAGTTTTGAAAAACATAAAAAGAAAGGTGCTAACTAATGGTGCTTGTGAATAATAAAGGAATAGAGTTATTAATGTTATGTCACATAAAATAGGTATTTTATATGAGTGAAACAAAGTTGCAGCTTCACAATTTTTATTTTTATTTTAAAATGAAAAAATAAGTACAAGATTTTATAAGTATGCAACATAAAACAACTATCTTATGTAGCATAAAACAACTATTTCGTATAAAAGAATACAAAAAATTATTTCCCTCTATGTCGAGGTGCGTGAATTTGAAGCAAATATGTAATGCACCTGGCGCACTATTGACTTCAGTCTGCGATGCAAAGCTTGATCTGAAGCTTTATAGGTCCAGTAATATTAGCCAATAATAGTTGTGATTACTAGCTTGACAGAATTTAATGTCTATTGTCTGGGAATCGTCATCACTTTTCCTTAGGAATAAATAAAGGTTTTTGAGGCATTGTTCTGAATTTTCAATATACCCTTATCAAAGGGAAAAACTATTTATTTGATTTTTCATTTGTTGTGTGTTGTGTAGGCTTGGTTTCTTGAGGAAGAGAAAAGGGCCCATTTCTGGAACAAAGGGCTTGGACAGATTTCGCTCAGAGGAATCATTTTATGCAAATCCTTTGCCTGATTGTTTATGTCAGACACCATCACCACGTACAAACGCTTCTTTCTGACGTTGTTGGACAGACCAGATAAAGCAAGTATTTGGCCAATGTTTTATGCCAAAATCTGATGTTCAGCTGGAAGGTGTATATATAAACGAGAGAGAGAAAAAAAAGTACAACAGAAACGAAAAAAGAAGAAAAAAAAAAAGAAGAAGAAAAAAAGCACACACGGGATTTGATGTACAAATTTGGTGAGGATCACAACTTGAGTTTTTGGATATGTTGTTGTGCCTTTTGTAAGGCAGGATTCATTCATTCATTCACTTGACATTTATAAAAATCGATTCTCAATACATGCCAAAAATATAGTTTGCTTTCCAATCCCATCACTATTCAGCAGTTTTAATTCGTTTTAGTTTAGAATTTATAGATGTTCAAGTCAAATCAAGATATCAACAATTAATAATTTCCGTATCATTATTATTCATTCTCTTTTCAGTTTAGAAAATGTGCTAAGACTGAATGTTTTTATTGAAAAAAATTTAGATACCCGTTGCATTATCAAATCTGTGGCTACAGTAAAAAATTCTATACAATTTGATTTTAAGAGGTAAAAAAACAAAAAATCTGACATGATATCATCAATATTATTTGTAAAACTAATGACTAAATCTTTGTCACTTCATCATTTATAATAAAATTGCTGCAACTCATCTATCACCACAATCTTATGCCGCAATAGCATCCTTCAAATGGAATAATGTTATGAACCAATATATCATGATTTTCTAGCGATAACATTAAGACCACCCATGAAGGGCCTCAAGGGCTCAGGAATAAGGACAGATCCATCTTCTTGTTGGTAAATTTCAAGTAAACATATAATCATCCGCGGTACTGCACAAGCTGTTGCATTTAATGTGTGAATAAACTGTGGTGGAGAGAGATTGCCTTTAGACTTTTTTGCACTTGTGACTGTTGCTTCTGATGGACGATACCTGATTCCCAAACGACGGCTCTGATAGTCTCTGCAATTTGATGCGCTTGAGATCTGTCATAATATTAGACATGAGTGATGAGGAGCAAAGAAGGCTCAGCAAATTTTATTGAAAGCCACATGATTTTTGCAAAAGGGAATAGCAGGAAGTTGCTTTTTCAAGTGTGGTTAAGCTTCAGTAATCATTATTAACAAGTAACAAAACAAAATGCAGTTCCCCCTGGTGCTAGCAGCCATAGCAGCTGTATTTAGATTATTTACCAATAGCATTGAAAAAGCAGTAATCTTAGCCCAAGGGGCATCAGAAGTGTGCAACAGATGTGTCTCAGAAGATAGAAAGGGAAAGAGTTGACGCAGTACCTCACCAAACCGTTCTAAACCAGGCATCCATGCCTCCACATCAAATTTACGGTAAGCAGGTGCACCTAAATCTTCAGAGGCCATATCCAAAGTTCTGCAGAAAAACTCACAATTATAATAACTACAGTGATGGAATCAAGTTAAAAAAGAAGAAAGGGTGTACTGAGGAGTAACTCTTACTTAAAATGTAATCCAAGGGATGAGAAGATGTCTTCTTCAATTTGAATAAGCTCTTCATGGTAATATTCACTCTCTTCTGGGCGGCAGAAAATAAACATTTCAACCTTGCTGAACTGGTGAACTCGATAAAGACCCCTGCTCAGGATTACTCGTGATCAGAAAATTCAGAACAGCGAAATATTTATAAACATTAACATTGGCATGTAGGATAAGACGTTAAGCTTAGGAACTCCACTGGTTAAATAAATTTAGGCCAACATATGCAACAAAAGAAGGATAAGAAGAATTTGTATGGTTCAAATTCTCCCATATATTAAAAGGTTGAATATTATTAAGGATTTAAAATCGTGGTCAAATCAATAGGTAGGAACATGAAAGGAACAATAAGCTAATTAATTACTTTGTTGCAGTGCCAGCAGCACCTGCTTCAGTACGGAAACAATGAGAAAATGCCACATATTTTAAGGGTAACAATGAGTCAGCAAGTATCGAATCCATATGAAGGCCCCCAACAGGAATCTCTGCAGTGCCGATGAGGCATTGATCACTATCATCAATGGAATAAACCTGTTCAACGTTGGCATGAAACATCAACAGAAGCTATGAACTTAATTCATTAAAATAAAAACATGAAACAAGGTTGTTCCTTAGTATGATTATCATTATAAAACCATCCAATTTGTAGGTCTCATGCCTACCAAAATAGAAAACAATATGATAGAACTCTTCTTAAGGTGTATAGTAGAAAGCGTCACAGAGGATCAAATCCTAATGCTGACTCACAGGAGAGAGGGAATATCATAGCTGTTGGTGCTGAGGCTGGTGAGAATTCGGTTAGGGAGAGAGAAGTTGGTGTGGTGCATGGGGCTGAGGTGTGAAAGTGCATCACAAGTAGTTATATAAACGGGAAAATGAAGGGATGAAGGGGGCTGGAAATTTGGGAGTTCTTTGGGAGAGATCAGTGCCTCTTATTAGCACTGAACCAGCTTGGGAAATTATTGTAATTGGTGGTTGCTTATTTGCTTTGCATTTAACTTGTTTCTGTCTTAAACAGTATTTTGTTATTGTAATTTTTGCTTGATAATATACAGAAAATCCAGTAATCTGGGCCAAAACCTTGTGTTGTGCGCATTACTATGATCTATTATATTACAATTCTGTCAACTGGTATCAGAGCACTCCGATCCTTGGGGTGCTTTGAATGGTTGTTACTCGCAACATGGACAATCGCTTGGAGATCGTGGAAGAACGCTTACGGAGAATCGAGACTTTAGCTGAAGAGCGTCACGAACAAAGTGTCCGACGGCTAAATGAGATTTTAGCCTTGTTACAACGTCATCCTCACCATCGAGATCGAGCTGATAGGGATGGCAGCCCGCGTCGAGGTCGCTCTCGCCGAAGGAGCACGGAATCCACAGATTCTGACTGGAGAAACCCACTCGCAGGTACACATGGGGGAGGACCTTCGCGTCAGCCCAGATTGGAACTCCCTCGATTTTCTGGGGATGATGTGTTCTCTTGGGTGACCAGGGTGGAACAATACTTTCTGGTCAATGCAATCCCAGAAAGAGCAAGGCTAGACGCTGTCATGATTGTCTTGGATGGTCCAGCGTTAAATTGGTTCTTCGTTTGGGAGCGTGGCAACCCCAACGCGTCTTGGGAAGATTTTCGAATGGATGTTATGGACCGATTCCAATTGGAGCTAACTGAGAGTCCATCCCAGGAATTGATGAGTTTGAAGCAGACGGGTAGCGTTGCAAGCTTTAGGCCTGAATTTGAAAGAATAATCAGCCCTATTCAATATGCAGATGAGGCTATGCTTAAGGAGATCTCGTTGCATGGGGTTCATAGCAGTCTGTGCACTGAGCTGATGCAAGCCAATATCGTATCCTTATCTGACTTGATGAGGAAGACGATGAGTTTGGAGAGAAGAAATTTTTCGTGGGCTAGTGATGGGCTGGGTTCGTGGGGTGCTGGAAGGACAAGTGTAGTGGGCCGCTCCAATCAGCCCATTAAAGGGTTCTTTAACGCGTCACATGCCAAGGGCATGGCCACTAATGCCACGTCCATGACAGGTGTCGGTCATCAAGCTTCCCCCACCATTCAAAACGACACGTGTTCTGGTCACACAAACCCTACCCGTTCTCATAACGTGGGCGTTGAGGGAGCAACACGAACCATGGAAGCTTCTGGTAGCAACCTGGTTGGTGGAGGTGGACGGCTCAGCCAGGCGGAACTTCACGATCGAAGTCGCCTGGGTCTCTGTTTCAAGTGTGGAGAGAAGTGGGACCGCAACCACCGCTGCCGGAACGCCCATCTCCGATTGTTGGTCATCGAAGAAGATGAGGAGTTGGCCGATCCAGAAGTTCCTTCGCACATGGAGACGCGCGAAGAGATCTTGCAACCGGTTGAAGAACCCCAGCCCATTGAAGTTGCACTCTTACAGCTCTCCATCTACAGTGTCTTAGGGCTTTCTTCAAACCAAAGTATGCAGATGTGGGGAACGATGAACGGCGAGAAAGTGACGATGTTGGTTGATAGTGGTGCGACTCATAATTTTATCAATCGTCAGGTGGCTGAACGATTGAAACTCACCATTGAAGATTCATATAGTTTTAAGGTGGTGCTTGGCAACGGTCACAAGGTAGGCAGCCAAGGTGTGTGCCGTCAAGTTACGTTGCAGATTCAGGAGTTTCAAACGACATTAGATTTGTTCGTCTTTGATTTGGGTGGTGCAGAGGTAATTTTGGGCATGGAGTGGCTGAGGAACTTGGGGGAGATCACAGCTGACTTCAACAAACTCACGTTGAAGTTTAATGATGGGGAAAATGCGACGGTACTTCACGGAGATCCTGCTCTGTCACGCAAGGGAGCTTGGTCCTCTCTTCGTTCAATGGTGAAGACGTTAAAGGACAGTGGTCAAGGGTGTGTTGTTGGGCCTCAGTGGATTCAAGGAGAATCAACAATCATGCCAGTTGATTGGGATGAGCTTTCGCTACTGCTGAAGGAGTTTGATGACATTTTTCAGCAACCACAGGGCCTACCTCCTCACAGACGGCATGATCATGCAATTGAGTTGAAAGCAGGGAGTGGAGTGCCAAACATACGACCTTACAAGTATCCCTACTACCAAAAGTCCTTGATTGAGTCACTGGTTTCTGAGTTGCTCACTGCAGGGATGATAAGACCAAGCATCAGCCCTTACTCGAGCCCAGTCATTTTAGTACGCAAGAAGGACGGCAGTTGGAGAGTTTGCGTGGATTATAGGGCCCTCAACAAACTCATTGTGCCGGACAAGTTCCCAATTCCGGTGATTGAAGAACTTTTGGATGAGTTAGGTGGCTCCAGGGTTTTCTCCAAACTCGATCTTAAGTCAGGGTATCACCAAATTAGAATGCGGAAGGAGGACATACCCAAGACGGCTTTCCGAACCCATGAGGGACATTACGAGTACTTGGTGATGCCCTTTGGGCTCACCAATGCTCCTTCAACCTTCCAATCACTGATGAATGAGATATTAAAGCCTCATTTGCGCAAGTTTGTGCTGGTTTTCTTCGACGATATTTTAATCTACAGCCACAGTCTGGTTGAGCATCTACAACATCTCCGGTGTGTTTTGGGTATTTTGAGGCAGCATAGTCTTGTGGCAAATAAAAAGAAGTGCTCCAGGCAGTTGCAAATTGAATACCTCGGCCATTTAATCTCAGAGGAGGGTGTAAAAGCTGATCCTTCCAAGATTGCAGCCATGTCTCAATGGCCTAGTCCTACAACATTGAAAGGGCTGAGAGGGATTTTGGGATTAACGGGCTACTATCGGAAGTTTGTTCAAGGGTATGGTTTGATCGCGAAGCCCTTAACTGACCTATTAAGAAAGGATGCTTTCCTTTGGAGTAAGGAAGCTCAATCGACATTTGAGCTGTTAAAGAGTGCCATGTGCTCCGTTCCAGTCCTAGCAATGCCAGACTTTGGTAAAACGTTTACTGTAGTCACTGACGCATCAGGAAAAGGGATGGGAGCAGTGCTTACTCAGGGGGATTGTCCACTCAGTTATATCAGCCAGGCCTTCTCCTCACGAGCATTGGAAAAATCAGTTTATGAAAAAGAGTTAATGGCAATTGTGTTTTCCATTCAAAAGTGGAGACCATACTTATTGGGTCGCCATTTCATCATCAAAACTGATCAAAAAAGCTTAAAGTTCTTGACTGACCAACGAATGCTAGGAGAGGAACAACAGAAATGGGTATCCAAGCTTCTAGGATACGATTTTGAGATTCATTACCAACCGGGTAGGGAGAATAAAGTTGCTGATGCCTTGTCCCGGAATCTGCATTGTTTCTCCCTCTCTTGTGTGGATGCTAGCAAGTATGAAGTGTTGGAGCAAGAATTACAAGCAGACATCAGAATGAGAGGAATTATTCAAGACTTGGTCATCAACCCTCAATCACACGCTGGGTTCAGCCTCAATGGAGGCCGTTTATTTCACCAAGGCAGATTGGTATTGGCAAAAAACTCCAATTTTATTCCAATGGTATTGCATGAATTTCATGATTCCTATGTTGGTGGCCATTCTGGATTCTTGAGGACTCTGAAAAGAATCAACAGCTTGGTGTATTGGGAAGGTATGAACAAGAAGATTAAGGAGTATGTGGCCGCTTGTTCTGTGTGTCAACAAAATAAAGTGTCTACATTATCTCCTGCAGGGCTGCTCCAACCCCTGCCCATTCCTACCTATGCCTGGACTGATTTGTCGATGGATTTTATTGGAGGACTACCAAAGGCTCAAGGTTTTGACACGATTTTCGTGGTAGTAGACCGCCTTTCTAAGTATGCCCATTTTATTCCCCTTAAGCATCCTTATACAGCCAAGGTAGTTGCTCTTTTGTTGATCAAAGAAGTAGTTAAATTACATGGATTCCCAACATCCATTGTCAGTGATAGGGACAGAGTTTTTCTTAGCTCTTTTTGGTCAGAGTTGTTCCGTTGTAGTGGCACCAAATTGAAATATAGCACATCTTATCACCCACAGTCCAATGGCCAAACAGAGGTAGTTAACCGTTGCTTGGAAGATTATTTAAGGTGTTTTTGTTCGCCTAAACCCAACACTTGGCCATCCTGGTTGCATTGGGCAGAATTTTGGTACAACACTACCTTCAAGACTGCCACTGGTACCAGCCCATTCAAGGCAGTGTATGGATGCGAACCTCCTACTCTGTTTCGGTCCAGCTTTGCTATATCTCCAATTGATGAAGTCTCCACAATGTTACAAGACCGAGACTTAATTTTACAAGAGTTACAACAACATCTTTTGATTGCTCAAGGTAGAATGAAAGCTCAATCAGATCAGCATAGGAGGCACGTGGAATTTGAAGTAGGTGACATGGTCTTTCTCAAGCTTCAACCGTATCGTCTACGATCATTGGCAAAAAAATTGAATGAGAAGCTTAGTCCTAGATTTTATGGACCCTACGAAGTGGTGGAGCGAATTGGGGCTGTAGCATATCGATTATTGTTACCAGTGGAATGCAAGGTCCATAATGTCTTTCATATTTCACTTCTTGAAAAGGCTGTCTCACCCACTGACACCATACAGCCTCTTCCCCCTATGTTGAATGAGGAGTGGGAGCTCAGTGTTCAGCCAGAAGCTGTCTTACAATGGCGACGAAATTCTGTGGGTCGTGTGGAAGTTTTGATTAAGTGGTTAAAGCTTCCTTCCTTTGAAAATTCTTGGGAAGATTCAGCTCAATTTGATTTCCAATTTCTTGCATTTCACCTTGGGGACAAGGTGAAGGTTTTGGGGGAGAGTATTGATAGAACTCTTCTTAAGGTGTATAGTAGAAAGCGTCACAGAGGATCAAATCCTAATGCTGACTCACAGGAGAGAGGGAATATCATAGCTATTGGTGCTGAGGCTGGTGAGAATTCGGTTAAGGAGAGAGAAGTTGGTGTGGTGCATGGGGCTGAGGTGTGAAAGTGCATCACAAGTAGTTATATAAACGGGAAAATGAAGAGATGAAGGGGGCTGGAAATTTGGGAGTTCTTTGGGAGAGATCAGTGCCTCTTATTAGCACTGAACCAGCTTGGGAAATTATTGTAATTGGTGGTTGCTTATTTGCTTTGCATTTAACTTGTTTCTGTCTTAAACAGTATTTTGTTATTGTAATTTTTGCTTGATAATATACAGAAAATCCAGTAATCTGGGCCAAAACCTTGTGTTGTGCGCATTACTCTGATCTATTATATTACAATTCTATCACAATATGATAAGACCCAAACTCATAGGGATAGAATAGGAAGAAATTTACTGAATAATACCGATATTAATCAAGCTGGTATTATGAACTTTAACCTTATGTCCATAATCATGAAGCCCAAGAATAGTTTAATAGCACATGGTGAGAAAGAAATAAATGCCTAAGAATTACACACTCACGAACCTGGGTATTTTTTGCCCGAGGTTGGAACCCACATTTTTCAACAACAGAGGACCGTACAATTTCAGGCGTTGTTAGCGGAGTAAAGCCTCTCTTCATCACTCGTGAGAGTGTCCAATTTACAAGAGCCATCTCTAACAAAACCGCTTCATTTTTCAGGTAGTAGAACTTTGACCCACTGACCTGTGAAGCATGGTAAATGCATCTGAGACAGAACTGAAGTCAAATGCCAATTATATTCTTGTTCTTCTTTTGAAGATCCAAACTTCAACATAACGTTTAAAAAATAAGGAATAAATTACTATCAAGTTAGCACTCAGAATGAGGTCTTCCAATAATATAGTATACAAGAACAATGATAGAGATGAAGCATTTAACTATAGAAAAGTTTGAGTCTTATACAATCTAATATCATATACAAAACTATCCCGGGCTACTTTCACTAAGAGGAGATGCTACACCCAAGGCACGCCTGCATTTCCTAGAAATTAATAAGAGTACCAAGTGAATAGATTCCAACATAAAGTCATTTTCACAATACAACTTTTTACCTTTACCTATTGCCACATACTATTAACTAACCTACACCTCAAAATGACACTAATAATAGCCAAGCTTCAAATAAATGATGCTTTAATGCCTTAAATTAATCATAGTATACCTCAGCAGCAGCATCAAAATCAAAAAGATCAAGTTCCTTTCCTAGTTGGAGATGATCTCTGACAGGAAAACCAAATGTGGGAGAGCTTCCAACCTAAAAAGTCACACAAAACATTAGTATTCGAGGAAAATAATTTGATGCATGAACAAGACCAACAGCCAACCTTTTTCCTCGAGAAGGAAAAAGGAAAAGAATTGTAGTAATTGAAAAACTATCTTCTACCAACAAAAACAAAATCAACTGTTGGTTCAAATGGTAAGGAGTTTTTATACTTTAACTAAAAGTCTCAAGTTCGAGCTCTAGGAATGGAAAAAATAGTCTTGGGAGAGCCACATTTCTATGGGTCCAACCCAGGTCAAACAAGATTAATTGCATAATTGATGAACCGAGGAAAAATTAAAAATTAAAATAAAAAATACCATCCTCCTAATAGTGGAACAATCCTCCCCTCCTATTGGAACATCTGGATGAGTCATGTTTGGTACACACTGCGCTTCATGTTGAAGCTTATCGTTAAGCTTCACCAGGTCTTCTTCCAAAGAAACAAGTCCCTCCTTCAAATTCTTTCCTGCATGCAAAATGTGACCCTTTTAATTAAGGAATTCATTTTTATTTTTATTTTATTTAAAGAGAGAGAGAGAGAGAGAGAGAGAGAGAAAGAGAAACAAAGGCAGTTAGTTGGGTGAAAATTTGAGCCAAGAGCACCTTCCTCAATTAGTCTTTGACGCTCAGATGGTTCTATTTTTCCTTTCATCTTGTTAGCCACTGCATTTCTTTCTCCACGAAACCTCTCAACCTCCTGCTATCTGTAAGAAACAGATTAGCAAAGCCATTGAGAACAAAGAGTTCATTGGCATTTGGTTATATTTGATACAATTAAACATTTATCATGAAAAAGCATTCGAGAAATGTTTCAAAACTCACCCTAAGTACCGTACCCAACAGGTTACCATAACAATTCCGAAAAGTGTTTTGAGGAAAAGATTGAAGAGAAACATAACCTTCTGAAGATTTAGCATTTGGTCATAAAGCTGGAGCACAAGGTCCAAATTAGCATTAGACTTCCGGTTCCTTATGTTGGCAGCAACGGCTTCCTTGTTATCTTTTATCCACTTGAAGTCTATTGTGGCTTTCCATTGAGGTTTCCCACCTACATCACCATCAGCAGCGACAACAACAACAGTGTCTTGTAATTCAGTTTGGTTGTTGCTGAGAAATGAGAACGAAACTAAGAGAGGAAAATAAGAAAAGGGAATGACCGTGGTCTTCCGGGGCTTTTGTTGTTGACGGAGATGTTTGGGTGGAGATAGCGCGTGGCAATGGAGATTTCTGGAAATGGAGGGTTTGAGTTTGGTGGAAAGGTGAGGAACACCAAGTCGGAATTGCAGTAAGTTTGAGACTTTGGAAGGTTGTCCCGTTCAGACAACCATGTAAACCCATTTTTCTCTCTTCTCTCTCTCTCTCTCTAGCGTTTGCAGAAGCAGTGGAAGAGGCTCCCGGGGAATTTATCCTCAATTCATGTAAAGTGTAAACACTCTGTAGGGAGTCAAACCACGTCGTCGTTTTATGGTGGTCGTGAAAAAAAGGAAGAAAAAAAGAAAAAAGCAAAAATTTGTCCACCTTTTAAATATAAAAGCCACAATTAAAGGAAAAAACAAAAAAAAAATTTAACTTTTGCCATAGAAATTCTTTTTCCGTCACATTCATGTAAAAAATGGCTAGATCTAATTAATCTTTTCTCTATCTTGTATTTATTGTGAGACCCATCGCAGAAAAATTTTGTCCGTCCTAAAAATAAAAACATTAAACTCAAATAAAAATAAATATATCTATTTGCATTGTTTTCGTTTAATTGAGATAGAGTAAAGAGAGAATTCATTCTTAATTTCAAGCACCAAGATAATAGAAAAATAAAATATACAGAAAAATAATTTAAAAATAAAAAAATAATTACGTGGTTAAAATTTGTCTAAACCTAGAACCATAAGCTCTCCTTTAATAATTTTTACGGTATATTTAATTTGATTTGATTATATTTTCATGTAAATTTTTTACTTATGTAAGGTTTACATTAAATCATATTTAAGCACACTTATCACTATAAAAAAGTACAAATAGGTTAGTGAGTTGGAGTTTCAACAACGGCTTAACCCTCCACATTCGGGGATTCCCCTCAGAAGATTTTTTTTTTTTTTTTGTTATTGTATTGTTTGTTTGGGCCTCAATTTTTCGTTAATTTGTTATGTTATTCTCCCTCTTTAAATGTCACATGTAATTTCTTTAAATATAATTAAGTTCGTTCAGATTGAGTAAATTTACTACTCCCTCAATTCAAATGTCATATATATTTTCTTTAAATATATTTTTCTCTCTCTTTATATTTTTAACATTCATATTTGTCTTTGAGTTTTATGAACCTTATCCATATTTTATAATATGATTCCTATTCATAACAAATTATAAAATAAATGAAATATAATAATGAAAATTGCTAAAGAAAAAATTTCAAAAAATATTTTTAATATTTTCCAAGCGCACTAGTGATATATATTTAGTCCCACAGTATTGATATTTAAGTATTTTAACATAATACAAACCACCAAAAAAATATTTTAATATTCTAGAAAATAGAACCACATCATTTTATTTATAGATTCACTTTTTCTACAGTCAATGTAGCCGAAAACGATGTTTTGAAACAGAAATCAAGGTATTTTTGTAATTATAATTTATTTCAAAGTTATGATAATCTTTTTCATTATAATTTTTTAATTTTTCAACCTAAAACAACATCATTTTAAAAATAAATATAAATAACTTATTTATTCATTATAGAAATATTAAACCCTTTATTTATATCTTATACATCAATTGCCAGGTCAATTAATTCAACAGCCAATTCTTCTGTTTTCAATGAAATAAACCAATTACCCAAAACAACTTATTTGCAACAAAATAACAAGAAAAATCCCACTATATAATAAAAAATACCGAAAATAATGCCATCATTTTCTTAATAAGAGAATTCAAATTGGCAAAGGTAACTTTTACTACTTTTTCTTTAAAACCATTTTCAGTTTTCTATTTATGGTACTTTTTCTTAAAAAAAAATTTTGCCTTACACTTGAACAAGTCGCTCATTGTGTATCTCTGAAATTCTCAACAAAAAACGCTTCCTGGATTTTGTATTTACATTTTCAAAGAAAATTTTCTCACCCATAGACCTCTCTAACGTGATTACCAGAGGTTCCACTCTCAAGTGATACACGACTTGAAGTAAAGAATACAATTGGGATAGGCTTCATTCAACAGAACCAATATGTCAGGAAACAACCCGTCATAAGCAATGGAAGCATCCGTATTCAAACAGTTCAAAGACAGCCAACAGATTTTATTAACTTAATGTGTAACACTGAACACCCCCCAAAGGGTTGAGAGTTTATCTCTCCGCATAATTTTATGTGTGGAGCGGAATAGCAATTTTAAATGTGACTTGAGCAATTCAATTGGTCGACGGTTTCCGACAAGTGCCACCTAAAGCGGTCCTGGGAATGTTCCGTTCTCCCTTTGTTCATTCCATCTGTCAATCTGGTGCATAGACAAATCCATGAAAACAGAAAGTTAGCTCATGAATGCAATTTTTAAATAGCAACAGCAGAGAAAACACCTACAAGATAATGTAAAGTAAAGAGATTAAAGTTTCTCTAAAATGTACTAGATAAGCCATTGAGAAAAAAAATGACATGACAATATCAAAGTTGCATATTTGTATTTCATCTGATCGCAACGGCTAAGGAATCCATTTAACAAGATAGGATGGTTACTTTAAAGGATGTTGAACTCTAAAGCCACATTCACCACAAAATATTATTAAGAATTCCCTCTCCAATAAAGCATCTTGAAGAAAACTAAGTTTTAGTACACAACAAGTAATAGACCTACAACGTCTATATATTTACCAACAAAGTAAAAGACGCAACTCCATTTCCATGTCAAGTAAGGTCATAATCGAATAGATATTTGGGCACAACCATTAAGCTAGAAGAAATGTCAATATATATCAATTTGATGGACAAATGGATCCTAAAGCTTCCTATTAGAAGACAATCAATAATATTTCAATATGAACTCAAAATACATACCCATTCACCAGGGCACAGAGAACGATAATATTTTGCAAACTTTTCACATTCTGGGGCACCTTCTCCCTTTGCAGCTATGCATCTACACAAGAATTTCAAAGGTTAAAATAAAGTTAAAGAAAAAAGAAAGATGCAATTCTTCAGATTAAGAGAGTGACAAGATTGATAAAAACAAAGGCCTGCCATGTCTCACCGATGATATTCAACATATCGGGTAAAGCAATGCCTTGTTTGGTTTGTGGTTGGAAAGCGAAAATCTGCTGGAGCAGTCTCAAGCTGAATAGCACAAATATGAACACAAAAAGAAAGTAAGAGCATGCTTATGATGTAATTAAATAATAGTTAAAGATCAACTATCCTAAAAGTTTAAGAGGTTAGGTGAATGCTCATGATTGGTTTTATATCTCAAACAATAACTATTTTAGAAGAATGATTGTATGGGGTTCAGTAAAAACAACCTTAATTTCCGGTGTCTCTTTTGCTGCCTCTTGATCACCACCGTTTTCTTCTTCAGTATTCCCACTACTTTCCTCTGTCATTACATCATTGTTCGTTGCATCATTGTTCACTTCAGAAGCATCAGTTGTGGGAATTGTGGTTTGTTCAGCAGAAGGGATGACTTCACTGCTTTCCTCAGCAACTGGGGGGGTTTCTTCCACAGTTTTCTCAACAGAAGCAGCCTCCTCTGGGTTTTCAACTTCTTTGACTTCCACAGGATTTGCATCTATTTCTGTTTTCTCCTGTTTCTCCTTCACAAAATATTGCTGCAAGTCAAAACAAACTTGTCACTACAACTTATCCCATGCCATATAATCATCAAAGTGTTAAAGGTATCAAGCCATATTGTTTCAGCTGAGGAAATCAAGGGAAAAATTCATCACCGGAAGCTAGCAACGAATAAGAATTCTAGCCATCGGGAATTCCAGTATCCCTGACATTCATCCATGCCCATGGTGCAGTAGACATGACAAAGCAAGCATAAAAGTGATTTATCAAAAATGATGATTGATGACAGACTTGTCACTAGTTTTACCAAAGGACTATGCAAGAATAAGAAAAAGTTGCAAAAATTCCATGATGCAGATACTACTATCTTCCAACTTTCCCAGGATCCAATCCTGTTGTTAATCTTTTAACTTAATTCACAATTACACAGTTCTATCAAAAGAAGAAAACTATATAAGGAAACTTGAAATTCAGTGGAATAGAAGATGCAAATCAACGAGATCAAAGCTAGCAAGTGGCAATTATCTCCAGCAGAACGTTACTTGGCCAATATAAAGACTTGACTTTATGCCATTGTATATAGGTCTGGTATTAAACATTTTTGGTAGGCAACATCAGATTGAAGTTATGAGCAAGAATTTTAACATAAAACAAGTTCAGTTGGTGAATGAATTTTCTATGATGACATCATTAGAAGGCAATTCAAAAGACAACGCTTGGAAAGAGTAAAGTTGAGTAGAAATTGAACCAAACGAACTCCTAGATGAAGGATTCCAGATTGTTGGTTAATTAAATGAAATTGGAATAAATTGGGCAGACACCTTCGCTGATCCGTTAAATGAAAACGAAGATTCGGGATTACTTGGAAACCGAATTGACAATTGTATACATAAAATGGAATTTATTTTATTTTATTTTATTTTCTAAAAAAAGAGTATATGAGTGAGCAGTACCTCGGCTAGAGTAGGGGATTTCTCAGAAGCTTCGGCCATTGATGAAAGAGGAAGCGATCAGCTCTGCAAGAACAGAGAGGCCGACAAAACAACGAGGAAACGAGAGAACAGTGGCTAGGCGGAATTGGGTTTTTTGGGTTGGGTTAGGTTTGAGTGCTGCGTTTCACGTGGTCTCATGCGCAAAAAAAATAAAAAAAATTGAACTGAAACGCGAACTGACCCGAGAGAGAACTGCAGTTAAAATAATTAATTTTTGCAAAACCTGTTTTATGAAACGAATTGATTTTTTTTTTTTAAATCAGTTCAATAATCAATATGATTTTTAGAAATCAATTTACAAACCGAATCGAATTGGTTTTAAACCGAACTAAATTATTTTATTTTTTAAAATAGATTCGACCCAAATCAATTTCAAACTGAACCAAGTTGAACTAGTTTTCAAACGACCCAGGCCGTTTAAATCAATTCAGTTCAATTTGATCCATGCACACCTCTAATATTATCCATTTTGTCTTTCTTATGTTTTTAATATTTTTCATATTACATGAGATAATTAACAAACAAAAAATGAGATTCACTGAATAAAAGAGAGAGAGAAATGAGTCTTACGCACTTTTATATATATATATATATATAAGAAATAATTTTATCTTTTAAAATATATGAGACATTAAACCCTTGTTCAATGTACAAAAAAATATAATACTATAATATTAGTGATCAAGTTATTAGATAATTTTTTGTTTTAGCTATTGGATGATGTGTAAGGTGATTTAGGAGATAATAAAAATTGAAAAAATTATATTATTTTTGACTTATTTTTTTTCCAATACTTGTCCCATTTCAAAATTTAGACAAAGTATACTTTCTAATATATTATATTTTACTTTTTAGCCAATTAAATATACCTTAATTTATTTACTTAAGTTTGGATTAATTATATATGTAAATGAAAACGTTCTTAAAATATATTTTTTCTTTATATTTAGTCTGGGACCGGTTTAGTGCTCAGATAATTGGAGCGTATGGTATTATCGATAACAAGAATTCTAATAATATATCTTTACTTAATAGTAAAAAATATTTAAAAGATAAAAAGATAATGTTATTGTTAAAATTTGTTGAACGCTAACAACAATTGGGGACTTTTCCATCCCTGAGATACTTAAAAGCTTATGAGAGTTACAGTGAATTGTAAGCACGATAGCTAATGATTCATCCTTATAATGCAACGGAGGCTCTTTCCTTCCTGGAGATACTCAAAAGCTTTGTTAATGTCCTCCAGGTCCACCTCATGCGATATGAAGCCATCCAAGCTAAGCTCCTGTAACATAAATGACAATTGTCAATTGTTGCTCCTAATGTCAATGTCGAATTCCATTGTCTAGCGTGTCAATATTTTCCATCTTTATACTATATTTAATTCACTAATCTTTTGGGTTCAAGAATAGGGTTATGTTGATAGAAAGTGACAGATATATTTTAGAAAGAAAAATGTAGAGTTATAATCGTTAATAAAAAAAGGTAATAACTATAATTATAATGAAATACATACATATATAAGAAATTATAATTTAAAGAAAAAATTACTAAGTTGATTTTTTAATCAACTGTAACTTTTATAAGTTTTCTTTTGAAGTGTACTTTTTATGTTAGAAGAGTTAAATTCTAAAAGTAATAATTACACGTATCGCACTTACTTTGTCCAAGTACTTCTTAGCAAGGAAGGGAAGATCAGTTTTGGGTTTGAGGCCTCCAAATAGTGATCCGGTGATAGTTCGGCCTCTCATTATGTGGTAAGGACTCAAAGTCAATGGCGAGCCATGCATTTCCACCCCTATTATCACTGTTTTCCCCCAACCCTGATCCCATAATACCAACCATGGAGAGTTAATTAAGTGTATTACAAACTCCAGTGAAAAGAAAGAAAAAATAACAATAAAAAATGGGAGATGTATGACAAGACTACTAGAAAAAATAACAATAAAAAATAAGAATTTAGGAGAGAATTTGCGACGAAAAATAATAACGAGGATGAAATTAGCGACGAAATTTTCATAGCAATTCTGTCGCTATACAAGTTTTTTTCTAAACGAGATAAGCTGAAACTGCAATTCCATGCGATGTGTCCCATTTTAACATAAAGTGGCACCTTAATAGATATTAACCATTTGATATTTTATTAGACTTGGTTAAAACTTAAAAAACAGTTGCACATTTACAAAAAAAAAAAAAAAAACAGTTGCACAGCACATATTTTCAATTAAGACAATATAACTGGGTTTTAATTTATTTATGTGATTGGATCCAAATGTGAGCTTGTGTATGTTAAGACTTTAAGGAGGGAGAGAACAAACATCTCGGCTACTATTATGAGCCTCTGCCATTAATGACGCCAAGCCTATACACTCGAAGCAATAATCAGCACCTCCATTTGTCATTTCCTTAATCACCTGAAAGAAAGAAAAAAGTATTTAATTAGACAAATATCACTCAAAGGCTGTTTGATAAATATATAAATAAGAACATATATACATAGTTTGTAATAATTACATAATTTATCAAGTATAGGTTTAATCTAATATATTTATTTTATATAAGACCTCTAAACCGAATATCTAAAAAAGTCAATTATATTATACTTAATAGAAATTATTTAGGTTTGCATTTTGTGAAACAAGCCAAAGCTTATTTAGGCAAAAATCTAACATATTTTTTCCTCTTTTCATGAATATTTTAGATACACACACAGACCTCGCTCACTGACTTCTCCTTGCAAGTGGAGGGATTCACAAAATCAGTGACTCCAAAACTCTTTCCTGTATAAGATAAGCAAGACAGACAGTGATGCTTTTCAAGATTCAAAATAACCAAAAGACGAAGGAAATAGTGTATATTGCTCAAACAAATTAAAAGAATCACAGAAATAAGATAGCCAAAAACCTATTTCAAATTTTGCATGGTTTAGATCGACGCCTATGATCTTTGACGCTCCCCGTTGCTTTGCTGCCATAGCAACCTGTTGAGACCCAAAACTAGCAGGTTAAAATTTAAATAACAATTTACAAACAAGAAAAAAAAATTAAATAACTAGGCTTTCTTCACTAAAAGGGACAAAAAATCCACACTAATGTGAGAATATTTTATGTTTGTTGCTCTTTTATTCTCGTTGCATAATTATTTTTCAACAGTTTGGTCTTAGAGAAATAAATCCTCTCAGCAAGTGAAAACGTTTGGAACTACGTAGTTAAGACAAGGAACAATTATTAAGAGTCAGTTTGTTTCGTCTTCCATAAAAAATAGTTTTTATTTCTTTCTTATTTTAAAAGTGATTTTTACAAAAGTTAAAACTATTTATATTTTTATAAAAATATTTAATTTTTGAAAAAAATAGTTGACTTCTGACTTATGTTTTTTTTAGAAGTTAAAATTTTTAGCTTTTAAAAAAAATAAATTTTTAATTTTTTTATGACTTATGTTTTTTTTAAAAGCAGACATCCAAACGAACTTAAAGTGAGAAGTGCTTTTTTTTTTCTTGAAAAAATGTAACTTTTGAAAGAAAAAAAAGCCTATTCAAACGAGCCATAAATCAGTTATTTGATTTTGTTTTGATAGCAATGAAGTTACTATTTAAAAGCTTAGATTATTATACATCAATTTATGAAATATATATAAATAATCCTGATGCAAGAATTAAAAAAAATGTGAAAATAATACTAAAAAAATTGCTCTAACATCAAAACTCCTAATCAACAATTAGTATAAGTTGTTTTGGTCTTTAAGCAAAGATATTATGAAACTAATTGTTCGGATAGAGAGTAGTAGTGGTTAAATAAAATATTTTCTAAACTAACAATTCAATAATTCAAACCTATAACGTAACATGTAAGGTTTGATGGGTCATAATTCACTTCTTAAGTAACAATTAATGCAAATATTTATTTTTCGGTGGAGGGTAGGATTAATGCGAGTTGTTTACTATTACTAAGTTTTTTTATTCTTAAATTTATTTTGTATTGACAGTCATGTAATGTGATTGATTGGGTTCCTCTAAACTTACAGCTAGGCCTACAGCACCAAGCCCAAAGATAGCCACTGTTGACCCTTCTTCTACGTTGGCCACTTTCCATGCTGCGCCCACCCCTGCAAGGATACAAACAAATTAAAATCTGGATTTATGTTTTTTTCACGCATTTCACACATGTATTTCGTAAATATATTCCTTTTCTTAAAAAAAAATATATCAGGTAAAATAAAATGAAAAATTACTTTGTAAAGGACTTCAATAACTTGGTATTTTCTTATGTACAACTAGAGCTTAGTAAACCAACACCTTTAACTCCCAACCTGCGTAAGTTTAAGAGTATTTATATTACAGATTCGTTTAAACAAAAAATTACATAACTCGACCGGTTCAACTTACGAATTAAGCAGATTAGGTCGTGTCAATTTTATTAGTTATCATATGACTTTATGTCTCTTAATTAAAAAATTATTAAAATTATCGTACCTAATTTGTTGTCTTCTCATTAGACCATTATCCAAATAAATAAATAAAAAATAGTTTAGAGTAGCTTAGAGTGGTTAAGATTTGAATTACACCTTTTTTTTTTGGGTTGCATATGGGTATCTGACTAGCTGATCTATAGCTTGAGAAAATTATGTACATTTTAACCTACAAAAAGTTAGTTAAAATTTTGACTTAATTCAATAAAACTAAGGATATTGTTACTCATTCAAAAGTCAACAAATACATCAATTATTGGACCAATAAATTTCTTGCTACCTAATATTTTTCTTATTTTATATTAAAAAAATCTGCGCAACTGTACATAGGAATCTTTTAAAAAAATGTGTAGACACCTTAAATGTTTCAATTAGCTTCGTTCTATCACTAATCATTTTCAAAATTAAATAATTGGAGTGATTTTAAAAATATCAAATGAGATTCAATAAGTATTAAATATAAGTTGGGAAAATAATACGCAGTTTTAATTGAGAATTTTATTAAATGTTCTGTGTTACTCTCCAACAATATAATAATCTTCGCGGCACACACAGTGACAGCATTACACTGAGGATGTTTCGTATCTTATGATTTGAAGTGTGAAGAAACATTATCAAAGTTGAAGATTTAGCAATGATTTCAGAGTTTTTGTTTTTTCTTCGATCTTGCTTTTCTTTTCATTAGCCACATATATATGAACAAACATTCAAATCCATCCTTCCATTAACTAGAAGGGATTCGATTAAATGCTGATTGCTTGCTTGCTACCTTCGACCAAATGCTGATTGCTATGCAAATCTATTTGCAAATATAATAGATGAGGAAATTTAAAAAAACGGTCTACCAAATAACTAATCGTGTGGGGGATTTTGGTTTATGTCTAACTTTCTCAATTTCATTTGCATAGTCAAATTTTAAAAAATTCTGAACCTAACATCACCTAAGAGTATTTATATTACAGATTCGTTTAAACAAAAATTTACATAACTCGACCTGTTCAACTTACGAATTAAGCAGATTAGGTCGTGTCAATTTTATTAGTTATCATATGACTTTATGTCTCTTAATTAAAAAAATATTAAAATTATCATACCTAATTTGTTGTATTCTCATTAGACCATTATCCAAATGAATAAATAAAAAATAGTTTAGAGTAAGAGTGGTTAAGATTTGAATTACACCGTTTTTTTGTTTTTTGTTCTGGTTGCATCTGGGTATCTGACTGTCTGATCTATAGCTTGAGAAAATTATGTACATTTTAACCTACAAAAAGTTAGTTAAAATTTTGACATAATTCAACAAAATTAAGGATATTGTTACCCATTCAAAAGTCAAAAATACATCAATTATTGGAGCAATAAATTTCTTGCTACCTAATATTTTTCTTATTTTATATTAAAAAAAATCTACGCAACTGTACATAGGAATCTTTTAAAAAAATGTGTAGATACCTTAAATGTTTCAATTCTCTTCGTTCTATCACTAATCATTTTCAAAATTAAATAATTGGAGTGATTTTAAAAATATCAAATGAGATTCAATAAGTATTCAATATAAGTTGGGAAAATGAATGTGCAGTTTTAATTGAGAATTTTATTAAATGTTCTGTGTTACTCTCCAACAATATAATAATCTTCGCGGCACACACATCATTACACAGAGGATGTTTCGTATCTTATGATTTGAAGTGTGAAGAAACATTATCAAAGTTGAAGATTTAGCAATGATTTCAGAGTTTTTGTTTTTGTTTTTTCTTCGATCTTGCTTTTCTTTTCATTAGCTACATATATATGAACAAACATTCAAATCCATCCTTCCATTAACTAGAAGGGATTCGATTAGTTAATTAAATTTGCATCCTCAAAGAAAAACAAAATTCAAAACTTAAATAGTTTCAACTTTCAACTATCTAGGCAATAGATATGTGGAGAGAAATGAATTGCTCTAACCTGTTGAAACACCGCAACTCAGCAAGCAAGCCTTATCAACAGGAAGCTCATGGTTAATTTTAACCACATGGGTCACGTCAACCACGGTGTATTCAGAGAAGCTAGATACACAGAAAAAGTGGTACACCGATTCTCCTTTCACGTCCCTAAATCTGCTGGTTCCGTCTCTTGGCATGTTATTGATCAACTGGTTACCGAACTTGGAGCAAATGTTGCTTTTTGTGCTTTTGCAATCTATGCATTCCCCACAGTTAGCGAGGAACACTGGCACCACTAAGTCCCCCTCTTTAAATTCTTCCACATGCTCCCCCAAGCTCTCCACAATTCTGTTGCAGTTAAGAGTTCATTTTGATCAAATACAATAAGAAAATTAGATACAAGGTTGAACTGGATAATATGGTTTTATTAATGTTTACCCCACAGCTTCGTGTCCGAAAATTCTTGGAAATTTAGCAACCGGAACCTGAGAAAGAAAGAAAAAAAACAGGGGATGCCCATTTGAAAGAGTTCAATTAAATGCATAATCAAATAATAAAATTGTAACACCCAAAAAAAAAAAAAAAACATAAAAATTGATGAATTATTGGTCACTCCTTAGCTACACTTTGTGCTTACTGAGTCTATTTTCCACATGGTTACATCAGAGTGACACAGAGAAGTGCATAAAATCTTGATCCGAACCTCCCAGGCTTTTGGAGGGTCAACCTCAATTTCCTCAATAACAAGAGGTTCACCTGCTTTTCTGCATATTGCAGCTGTTCCAAGTCACACAGAGGATTAATTAGATCGTAGTTAAATATACATATCTAATATACATGCCGTTTATATACGTACAGAAGAAGAACCTTTGCATCTTATTGGCTTGCCAATATTTTTTTGGGTACCGCTTTTGCTCTCCATAGCCACAGAGGAACCCAGGTGTGTGTATAGCTTGAAAAAGATGTTACAGAGACTAACTAATCTTCTCTGCCTTTCGTTTCTTATATAGCGTGTAGCGACAACGGAGATTATGCACGTAACAAGAACGCAATTTAGAAACGCAACTTAGAATTTATTTAATATTTGTTTATTTAAAATAATGATTATTTAAACAAACAGGAACGGACAAAACACACATGGAGCAACGCTATGGTTACCGGCTCCCCATGACCGATCACCATTTTTAAATAGACCCGTGTCTCTCACCGCTGACTGAACAGTGAACACACAGTTCTACATGTGAATACGCATTTACTTGTATGCCGCTGATACCGTGGGAGTCACATGAACCTTATTAGTCTAGTACAAAACGCGGAAGTCACATTCTATAACATATAAACATTACTTATATGAAAGTACTACTCCACGGAATATACAGGGACATTGATATAGTGTCAATAAAAAAAAATCTGAATGTCACATATTTTTTCAGCGTAAATATATAGTAACTTTTTTTTGGCCAAAGTCGCTAGAACGTAGCTATTTTAGCCTATTTTGAATTTTTTTAACCAAAGTAGTTACATGGTATAGCTACTTTGGTTAAAAAAAATTTGGTAATTTTTCACAACAATTCTTTTATGATGGAAATGCATTTTTTTTAGAGAAGAAAAGTATAATTCCATTATCTGAAAATAATAATTCAATCATATAAAATTATTATTATTATTTTCCAAATCTAAAGTTATTTTTTCCTTTGGAATTTGTTCTCATAAATATTATTACCTAATGTTATCTTAACTATAATTTATCATTTATCATTCTTCTTTAGAAAGAATCATTTGGTACTACTAGAAAAAAGTTCATTTTTTACGGGAAAATTGCATCACAAATGACAATTTTTGACACAAATAATTAAATTCCGTCACAAATAAATCTGCGACGCAGGAATTTATGACAAAATTTCATAAAATTTCGTCACTAATAAAGTTTTTTTCTTGTAGTTACTACATCAAGATTCTTTCTAAGAAGAATGATAAATAATAAATTATAAATTATAGTTAAGATAACATTAGGTAATAATACTTATAAGAAGAAATTCCAAAAGAAAAATAACTTTAAATTTGGAAAATAATAATATTTTTATACGACTGAATTATCATTTTCAGATAACGAAACCAAACCTTTTCTCTCTAAATAAATGCATTTCCATGAATTGTAGTGAAAAAATCACTAAAAAAAAAAATTATGGTAAAAATTCAAAATAGACCAAAGTCGCTACACTATGTAATGACTTTGGCTAAAAAAAGTTGCCACATATTTAAGCTGGTTCAAAGTCGCTACATCATGTAGCAACTTTGGATATATAGGCTCATCAGATTTTGGTAGCTACTGAAAATGCACCACGTGATCAGTATAAAGTCACTACATTACCTAGCGACTTCAATGTCGTGGCAGTTTGAAAAAATATATTAAAACTATGGTATTTAGATATTTATTATTGTTAAATATGGCAGTACTGTTAATGTCCCATATAAACACATCGTTAAAAAAGATAAAACAATTGTCAATATTATACAAAACAATTGTCAATAACTAAATACAAATATTCTCTTATAAACTAGTTTAATATCAATGTAATACATAAGATAATATAAAAAAATAATGGCTAAAAGTATTTATAGATAATAAATAAATAACTTTGAATTTTTGTATCATTATACCATGTTTTTGTATGTTGATTTGGTTAATGGTTATATATCATCCTTGCATTTGATATATTATATTTAAAATAAAAAATATCAATATATCATTTTATTTCTAAATAATATGACTATTTGACATGAGAAATGTCTCGCGTTTATGACAAGTGTATATGATATAAAAATTAAATAAGTGCTAAATAATCACTGACGTCGTAACTTTGGGTAGAGGTTTGTTGACTAACTACTTGCTAGGAGTTGTTATCTACTCTGAATGTGAATAGTTGTATCTTTTGCCTTATAAATATATATAAAGAAAATAAACTTGTCCTATTCTTTCCCTGCCTATTAATATTATCTTAAATGTTTTCCATAAATAATAAAACATCAGAGGGAAGAAAAAAGAGATTGATAAGGAGTTCTACCATTGTATGACAATATCCTTCGAATAAAAGCATCAATTTTTATTATGATAAAGAATAGTGCATCTTAACGTAATTGTATAAATGTGAAAATTATTATGAACTTCCAAGATCATTCATTATGAATGTTATAGATACAACATGGAATATGTAAAATTTCTATTTGAATCAATATGTTGAATATTGATGGATTGCTCCATGATGAACACCTATATGCATTGTATAAGAATGGTTATCTGAACCTATGTACCACTTTACATATAACTCGAAACATCGATGTCTTTAAATTTGTATTACTTGCAGTATTTATATTGTTATACACTTGCATTTCTCATATGTTCTAGTTTTCTTGTGGACATAATTTCTCGAAATATAGTAAGTAAATCCGTTTATATTTTGGGGGTAATAGAATTCGATTTTACTCTTCAAGGAGAGAAACCATGTGTTATTACTTTGTAAAGCATTGAAGAAGATATGATTCATTATAAAAACTATGAAAGATCCAATTGATTGAGTATGATATACATGCGGATGAGTATAGCTACCAATATTAAGTTAGTTATTCCTCAAACGGAAAGTGATTAAGAAATGACGAACTTTGAGGAAGAGAGCTCCCATACTACTGATAATCCTTTTAGTGAAATATTATTGAGTACCTTCATCACCATGAAATTTGATGGTTTCGTATGTTTTGTGAAAGCGTCATTGACATGACAAACTTTGTAGCAAGACTCAATTCAATAGTAATAGAATCAACTATTTTTTTTAGAGTAAAATCCCTTTTGCGTCCCTAATAAAAAAATACAGTTTTCACTTTCGTGCCTTAAAAAAAAGTCAACTTTTGGTCCCTCTACAATTTCAGTTCTTTGAAATTGTGGTCTTTCAGAAATTCAATAAAGACCCAATTTAGTTCTTAAAAAAGACTAATATGAGTTTTTGTCTGTAAGGGACGAAAATGGTGACCATATTTTTTGTTAGGGATCCAAAAAAGACTTTTTTTTTTTTAGTTTATTTAGTATGGTGATAGTCTTTTCTTCTCATTTCATATTAAGAAGGAACTGTATGTAAACAGGTGTCATTTATGTAAAAAGGCTGGGCATTGGCAAAAGATTGTCCAGAATATAAGGTTTGGTTCGAAAAGCATAAAACCACATTTTGTACCATGATATAAGTGGGAGAATGTAAGAAAGGTCTATGTGTATAACAAATATATATGATTTAATAATTAAATTAAGGGCTAAATGGCAACCTGACGTTTGGAAAGAGGGTTCTTAATTTTTTGGTGTTCGTAGCGATATATAAAGTAGTCATCAACTTCAATAGTTGGCTCAAATGACAATATAAGCTAAGGACGGACAGATTGCTAAAAGAGCAAGGATTCAAAGTTTGAAGAGGACATTTGTTACGGGCCTACAGCAGGAAGAGCAGGCCATTGGGATACAGGAAGTCAGGCCCAAGGTGGGAGCAGCAAGGCCCACTCGTGAGAAAAGAGCACCAGCTTGGAAGAAAGACTTTGTTTAGGGGAATTAGGGTATAGTCACATGTCTGTATTGATGTGCTGGCTTGTAATAAGAAACGTGGCAGCAGCTGCGAAATTTTTGGATTTATGTTTACATTTTGTTAGGATGATCACCGCTTCTTGTTATAAGAAGGGAAAATGCTGTATTTTGGTTACGCTTGAAATTAATCAAATTCAGTTTTTGTGATTTTCTCTTTTAGGGATTTAATTCCTAACAAATTGGTGCTTTCATCCTGGACTCACCGGACACTTCTCCGGCCACGATGAATGTTCAGGAGCTCGCCGATGAACTTTCCGCTACTCGTTTGGAGTTTAACCAACGCCTGGATCAATTGGGCGATACCATCATCGCCATCGAGCTTCGCCTCCGCGAACTTTTCGTCTCTTCCCCTCCTCTTGCTACTGGTTCTCGTCCTCCACCATTCCAGGGAGATGGCAATGAGCAGCAGCATTTGCTGAAAGGTGTGAAGATGGAGATTCCTCTCTTTAATGGGTCCAATCCTCATAACTGGATCTTCAAAACGGAGATGTATTTTCGTCTTCAACTAGTTCCAGACCACTTGAAGATTTCCTTGGTTGGCCTTCGCATGGAGGGTGCTGCGTCTGAGTGGTACCAGTGGGTGTTCCTCAGCGATAAGGTCACTTCTTGTCCTGAGTTCGCTGCAGCTGAGCGGGAACGATTTGGGGCTTCTGACTACCATGATTTGAAGGGGATGCTGTCCAAATTGTCTCAGCAAGGAACCTTGGCTGAGTACGTTCGGGACTTCGAATGTCTCATCAATCAAGTAACAGAGTTCTCTGACAACCAACTTATGAACTTCTTCATCTCTGGTTTGCAACCGGATCTTCGACGGGCCATCCAGCTCCATTGGCCTTCGTCACTCCATCAAGCAATGCAGCTTGCTGCTGTGTATGAAGCGCACCACAGCAAACTTCGTTCGTCTTTTACTTCCACCACTAAGAGGCCTTTTTCGTCCAACAAATCGTTTGTCACTTCACCTGCGATTTCGTCTTCTTCTCCGGTTGCTGGGAGACCTGCGCTGCCTGCTCCTACTTCCCTGCAAGCCTTACCCTCTCCATTACCTATTTGGAGAGTATCCCCCAATGATATGCAACGCAAGAGGGATCTCGGGTTGTGTTTCACTTGCGATGAGAAGTGGAACCCTCGCCACTAATGTAAGGCTAAGATGCTAGTCCTGTGTGGCGATCCTATTGACTCTGTTGAGGATACGGAGGAGGAAATTTTGTGGCATTCTGGCACCAAGGCGGTGGAGCAGGTGGATGCTGCATTGCATGCATTATCAGGTTCATTTAACCCTCGAGCTATTCAGTTTGATGCGGTTTTAATGGCGCAATCTGTGTTGGTTTTGGTAGACTCTGGCAGCACGCACAATTTTGT